TTAAATTTTTCCAGATCGTCGTAAACAGGAACGGAGAATGATGTTCATCTTCTACAAGCCCCGAGAGCCATTCGAGATAGATCATTACAGAGTAAGAGACACCGTTTATGCTGATATGTGGGCAACATAACGGTTAACCCATGACTTGAACAGGTCAACAATGTAGTGATCTGTGAAGCATCCTCTTTGTTGTCAGCTCCCCAAAGCAGCGGTTAGTCAGTTTAACTTACATCTCACCTATGGAATACGTGCGAAATGAGGCTGGCTTGCTACTATGTGCGTCGTATGGTGGGTCATTGCTGTGGAGATTAGAACAAGTGGAACTAAGGAATGTAGTTCATCTGTACACTTTCCGTGGAAATAGTGATAGAACAGCAAGAGGCTTGCGACGTTTCGTCTGTGGGGAAAGAGGTTGTATTGTGGAAACTAATTTATTGCCCACAAGAACGCGGAGACGTTGTCGGGATCTATCGACAGTGGAAAGTTAAGACTGGGCATCTGTCTAGATATGTCAACAGTACGTCATTTCCAGCCTGATTTGGCTCTTGTAAAGTTAACGAGGATAGCACAAGGAGTCAGGTACTTATAGGAGGCGGTCCAAAGAACCGGCCATTTTTCCAGCATCTTTTGCTTGTCCGTACGAGTTCCACTTGGGATCTGGTTTGAGTTTAGGTCCTAAAAGGCGCTAAAGATCCAAACGCGAAAAATGTGAGAGAATTAAAATATAAATTACTGTTAGTAAAATAAATAGTCTGGTTATAAATCTAGTCTGGTACTTAAATTCAGGAGGTTAAGATGCCAAAGAGGAAAGCTCATCAATACTTATGTTCCGGCAATTAATTTTTCTATTTTTAAATTTTCTTTCTAATAGTTCCTGATTGGGTCTTTTCAGAATTCCATATATTATTTTTTTTAGGTTTTTGACCACGGTGTCATCTCGCCCGATGCCAAGTAGGGCCCCTGAAAAAGTGGGGCCCCATTATCAAATAAAATGTAATAAAGAGGGGTATGGAATGAGAGGATCGGGTTAGATATAATTATGGAAATATATATGAGAGCATGAATTTAAAGATTCCGTGATTTGAGATGGTCTGCAATTTTAAAGGATATCATTTGGTTCAGCCGGCATGTTTAAGAAATTCGCTGTCTGAGGAGAATTTGGAATCATACCTCTTCTAATGAAAAGGAACTGTTAGATGAATTCGATGCTAAAGACATTATTATCAGATTCCCGCAATTATCTAGTGGACAAAATGATTTCTCTTGATATGGTGGAATGCAGGCAATGCGCTGTTAAAAATCAGTGTAAATTAAAATTTTGTAAATCAACTTAAATCCAAATTCTAACGGACACAGAACGTTTTATTGAAAATTATTAAGATGCGACATTCCGATGGAATGGATACCTACTTAGAATAACATTGAATTACCTTGTAATCCATTGAGAAAAACAGAAATAGTTACTTAGTATTTAAAACATGAGTATTATTACCGTATTTGACGGCATATAATCGTACGGGTGTATAAGACGCACCCCAATTTCAACAGGGTAAATCAAGAAAAAATTAATAATTTGTAAAATTATTAGTAAATTATACAGCCTAGGCTATATTTATGAGGTACTATTTTGGTTAAACAAGCCATGATTACAATTAAAAAAAAATAGTTGAAAAAACACGAGCCTATAATAGACTTTATTATATCCTTTATTTGATCTGAACAACCTACGTCTTGTAAACGTCTTATTAGAATAATTAGTATATCAAAATTTTGATTGTATTTATACCAATGCAACCGGACGTTATCGCAAGAAAAATATTAATGAAACATTTTACAAATATATAACTTGAATTTTTTGCATATAATATTAGTGAAACAAAGTACTAATATTAAACGTGATGAAATTAATACAATGATATTTATCAACGATAACACTTTTTATTCTCATAATAGCCTTTTAAATAATGACAATAGGTATATATAATTTACTCTAAAGTCTAAACTAATAGGAGTTGCCAGGTAGGTAATTTTGGCCGACTATCGTGAATTTGAAAACTACATATAGCATATAAGACACAGGGGAATTTTAAAAGGTATTTTTGGTAATAAAAAAAAGGCCTTATATGCCGTTAAATATGGTAATTGTGAATTTCAGTTTCATAATGATCAAGTTATTAGACATTTTATACACATCAGTAGTATATTTAGTATGGATCCCAACATTTTTTTTGTTAAATATTCGCGGTCGTATCCTGTCTACACTGACGTCCACAAGTTAGATAAAGATAAACAGCCAACGTATAAAGTGGTTCTAGCTGTCTGCGTGATAATACGAGTTGTAATCGGGTGTAACAATCCGAGCTAAAGTCATTAAGTAATTTTTTTTGTGTCTAGTCTCTTCCATGGCGGATGAAAATTTGCCTTCATAAGAAAAACTGGGTGTTCTTTACTTTTATGATCATAATTTTTTTTCACCTGTCTTCGTTTTTCATTTTCTTTTTAATCACCAACTTATCTCTTCTTCTTTTTCTTCTTCTTCTTCTGTCAGTTTCCTTTGTTTGCTTTTTATCCCTTTTTTTTCTTTTAATCGTTATTTTACCATTTCTTCTGTGGATTACGTCTCCCTCTCTTTTTCTAATATCTTCTTATACTGCTTCTTTTCTGATCTCTATTTACTCTTGAACATATCTTTTCTTCTTTTTCTTCATTGTTTTGACTTCTGATTCTTTTAGCCCGCTCAACCATCCTACCTCTTAGCCCATGGTTTTTGATTTCAAATATTTTCACTTCTCTTTTCTTCTTTATACTCTTCTTCTTCTTCTTCTTCTTTTCCTATTTTGATTGTAACTTTTCTTTTTCATCTTTAACTTCCTCGTTTTCCTGTAACTTCCTTCTTTTCCTAATAGCTTCTTCTTACTTCTCTTCTTTTATGCTATGCTTTCTTATTTCTATTTCCTCTTTAACCTATATTTTCTTCTTCTTCTTCTTCTTCTTCTTCTTTTTCATCGTTAAATTAGCTTCTTCTTCTTCTCCTCCTCCTCCTCCTTCTTCTTCTCCTCCTCCTCCTTCTTCTTCTTCTTCTCCTACTCCTCCTCCTTCTTCTTCTTCTTCTCCTCCTCCTAAAATGTCTTCTTTTTTCTCCTTTTTTCTTTTCTTCTTCTTTTTCTTCTTCTTCTTCGTTAACTTAGCTGCTGCTTCTTCTCTTCCTCCTCGTTCTTCTTCTTCTTCTTCTTCTACCGTTTCTTCTTTTCCTATTTTCCTCGTAACTTTTCTTTTTGCTCTTTAGTTTCCTCGTTTTCCTGTAACTTTCTTCTTCTCCCACTAGCTGCTTCTTACTTTCTTTTCTTTCATATTATTCCTTCTTATCTCTATTTTCTCTTTAACCTACCTTTTCTTCTTCTTCTTCTTCTCCTTCGTCGTCGTCGTCGTCGTCGTCGTAACTTTCTATTTTTTTTTCTTTTTTTTTTCCTCCTCCTCCTTCTTCTTCTCCTCCTCCCCTCCTCCTTCTTCTTCTTCTTCCTTCTTCTTCTTTTCAGATTTTTTCTTTTATGACCATACTTTTTACTTCTCCTTTCCTCTTTTTACATTTTTCTTTTCATCGTTAACTCAGCTCTTCTTCATCCTCTTCGCCTATTTCTGTTCTCTTTTTCTTCAACATTATCTTACTCTATCTTCGACTTTTCATTTTTTTTCCTTTACTTCAACTTATTCTTTTTCTCTTTTCTTCTTTACTCTTTCTTCTTTTCCTTTTCATTCTTCTTATTTCTTCTTCATTCCTAACTTCCCTTTTTCTTCAGCTCTCATTTTTTTTCACGTCTGCCATTAAATCTTAATTTTGACACCGCACACCACCCAACAACCTACCACAAGCATGAATATCCATTTTGATATATTTTAACCTTAAGCAAATACGCCTGGTGAGGATATTAAATTGCTAATCAAAAGTTTGACAACTTAATTATTTCTGAAGAATTTGTTGCAAAAATGCCAAATATTTTCCTCATCAGGAAAGACAAAAATTCGGGAAATTAAAATTGTCTTTAGTCTTAAATTTCACGGAATCACTTCATAGTGGTTCCTTCTTATTTAATGTTTCAAATTTCATATATTAATATGGACTGATTGGATTAAGTGCCGTTACTAACGCAATTGGTATGCTTAATTTTTTCAGAGAAATTGACGTAAGTGAGCAAGAACAAATTGATTTATTTTCGCAGCAAACTTTCAAATGTAATCATAAATTGTTTCAAATTATGACTTACGCATTCACCGGGCCGTGTACTCAGTCAGTGATGTGCCAAACGATGCATGACTGACGAGGCAGATTTTTTTCCGCAGTAGGTTGCCGTTTCATTCTGCGGTAGACCAGTTGTCATCCAAGGCTATAGAACCCCGTCTGTCCTGCTCTTTACCCATAGCTGGTGGGGAGAAGAAGAGAATCCATACCTTTCCTAAGAGTATTAGCACGTAAGTGAATATCACTCAGTTATCTGCCATGCGTGATACACGCTTTGGCGATCATGTATCAATCGATATATGACTGACAAGGCAGATTTTTTCCTGCAGTAGGTTGCCATTCAAGTCTACAGCAGCTGTAGAAAAAGAGGATGCATACGTTTCCCAAGGGTATTAAAACGCAATAGAATCGACTGGAATTCGAACTCGGCTCTTCGATTCCTCAATCCGAGCCGCTAACCATTACTCCACGGTGTCGTATACTAATGCTCGTATGTGTAAGATAATTTTAATATGAACCGTCTCCTTATAAAAAAATAAAAATAATCGTCAGTCACTGACCGTGTTGTTGGTTGAATTTTTTTTTCTCTTGAAACATTTTTTTCCGAAAATAGACATCTCGTGTCTAGTAGCTGTTATTACTCTTTCTACTACCGATGAGGTTTCATTTTTGTAACAACACTAAGAAATTGATTCGGAAATTTGAGAGGATTAACATAAAAATAATTAATAGACATAATATGTCTAGATTATTTAACCAAACA